CCAAACCCAAACCCAAACCCAAACCCAAACCCAAACCCAAACCCAAACCCAAACCCAAACCCAAACCCAAACCCAAACCCAAACCCAAACCCAAACCCAAACCCAAACCCAAACCCAAACCCAAACCCAAACCCAAACCCAAACCCAAACCCAAACCCAAACCCAAACCCAAACCCAAACCCAAACCCAAACCCAAACCCAAACCCAAACCCAAACCCAAACCCAAACCCAAACCCAAACCCAAACCCAAACCCAAACCCAAACCCAAACCCAAACCCAAACCCAAACCCAAACCCAAACCCAAACCCAAACCCAAACCCAAACCCAAACCCAAACCCAAACCCAAACCCAAACCCAAACCCAACCATCTCCTCACCATGTAGATGCATTCATATCATTTTTACGTTGTGGTGTTCTTCAACGTAATCGTTTGTTGTCTTCGTCCTCTGAAAAATCTCACAATATCCAACAATTCATGTAATCTTTGACGTCAACAACAAAAATTAACTTGTTAGTTCAGCTCTACAACATCAAAAACAAGGGTATTCCTGATTTCATTCCTTGATAGCAACTATTCATGGAGATATCTCCAAATGTTCGTTTCACCCTTGAAAAATTTCTTCTTGATTTTGAGTAGGTGATAGGTTGAGCGCTTTCGTCTTTCAAATATTACAGAACAACTCACATAATCGATTCATCATCATGTAGACATCTTCGACATCACATAGTATTGCTTTTTAAGCAAATTCATGGTTGTACTCTTCACTACAACACACATTGTCATGTTCACTGCTTCCACTCTGATCATGGTTCTTTCACAAGTCATTCTCATCAATTTAAATCTAATAACAATATTCCACACAGTGAGTTATGCAATATATTTAAATTAAAGATGATATCAATTAGTATTTATCGAAATAGAGCCTCACTTCAAGTTTTGGCTTGACTTTTCTATCATTTTGAACTTTGAAATTTTTTAAAAATATTCCACCTCCAGCGACAAACTGACTCTCCAACATAGGAGCTGATTCATTCAACAGGTACATCACTGTTCATGTCACAAACAATACAAATACTCTAAAAATCTCACACACACACTACACTCTACGTTTAATTAGCAGGTGAATATCATGTCAAGCAACATCACCCTCACGGACACACTCAGCAGTTAGGATTACCACAATTCCGCGTCAGGAGTCAGTCATCAACACACAAGCATAATATTAGTGTTCTACATGGTGATTAACACTTCACATATCAATTTGAGACACAATTGATCAGTATTTATTGAAAAAGAGCTTTATTTCATGTTTTCGCTGGACCTCTCTATCATTTTGAACTTGGAAATTTTTGAGTCCAAAATATTTTTTAAAAAAATTTCAAAGTCCTCAAAAACCTGACTGCTTGAGACAGGAGCTGTTCTGTTCAACATATGATTCGAATTTCTCGTCACAAACAACGGATGCATACTTAAACACTCATGAACGACGTGTATTTCAAGTTTCGTCTCTTGGTGACCACCATGACTATCATAGGACTCACTCTTCACATAACATACCGTGGTGGTGATCATGGACATGGACAAGCGTTACAAATGTCATAATATGCTTTAAGTGATGTATACAACATGATATTATAATATCTTGCATCATATAACTATGTGTTACTAATGGTGTCCGTCTCCTCCCAGTGATTGGTTTTTTCGCTGAGGCTACTATAGGTAGTTCACTTTGGGAAGAGACAGGATCCGACAGAGGTTGAGTCAACCCTTCTAAATTGATATATCTATCATTCGTAAGGGATACTATCATAATCCAGTTATCTGGGATGGTTCCATGTCTGCGTCTGACTTTGGACCATATCGACTTTGGAGCTAAAAAAGCTACGCTCACGAACTTTCAGCGAAAATCTGCGTTTTTTATTTTTCTCTAGAATGACATGTCAGCGGTAATAATGACGCTAGATTCGTTCTTATACTGTTGGATAAGAGCATAATATTGAGTTTAATAATTGAAATTAAATTTTAGTCTTCCCTACGTGGGTCAAAACCCCAAACCCAACCCCAAAACCCTCACACCATCATGACAAGCATGTTTATCAACTTGAATGAACGTTCAAACAACTATGTTTCATCTCATCACTCTTCATGAACAACTTTGAACACTCATTCATTTGGTGATAACAACGAACATGGTAGACGTATCCAATACGGTTGAAGGACACATCTACAATCACTACAAATGATTTCAATCATGATTCCGTAATCACAACATCAAACAACACTGATCAGTCACATCAACATTTTTTTGGATAAATTCTAAATGCGGAAGTATAGGGTCAGTAAATCCAGACAAAATTCAAAATCAAGATGACATGAACATTGACGCATATCAACCACATACACCATACATTTCACATGCACTGATCATGAAAATCACTGAATTAATTCTTTATTTTCAACGTAGCCATCATGAATCAACACAGGCTATCCATGAAAAAGTGTCAAATGTGACATAAATGAATCCTTCCATCACACAATGAATCACAACACTCCACAACATCAATAATTACACAATAGAACAAGATCAACACACGAATGATTGCTACAACTCAAGGAAAGAACCATGTCTCACATTGTAATGCACTTCATGACGAAATCTTCTAAGGTGCTCAACAACAATACATTCTAGACATGAACAAATACAACAATTAATGTCAATGTGTTGAATTCCATCCCAGCAACAGTAAAAAACTGTCTGTATCACTCTCCTGACAACTCTTCAAAAATTAATTAATAATCATTTTCTTCACTTCTCAGGTGTCTCATAACAAAATCAACTCATATAGATAAATTCCACAAATTTCAAAATAACAGTATCCTAGTGTGCACAATCATAAAAAATCACTGTGATATTCTTGTAATTGTTCAATATCGTAATATCATGTGAAAAAGAAAAATGAATTGAAAGAGTGAGACACCACTTCCACAAATTGATGAATCAGTGAGTACAACCAAGATGGATGTGTCATACTCATCATGATGAACATGTTGATGTGTATTGCTCATGACACAATCGCTCTTGGAAGGATATGGTATCACACCTCTACAACATTCATCATGATACTCCGCCAATAATGATCATATCCATCATCAACAGTCATAGAAATACTCTCCACAATGTATTATACAACATTGCAATCATCGGTTTATCGAAAAACTTAATCAATCAATTGTTATAAAATGATCATTCAATCATACAACAATACATACCAACAACAATTCATCATGATCACATTCAACCACTCACAATCACATGAAACACTTCTACAATGATGATCATAACGTGTCATGATGATAGAATGAATGACATGAACAAAAGAGGAGAGTTATACCCTTCCTCAAGAAATGATCATTTCCGAGAAAAGCGAAGTGCTCCCGTTCAATGAAACAATCATGTCAATGAATAAAACTGATGATTTGTTGTTTGAATGATCAGAACATCCATCCATATCAACTTCATGTAGTTATGTGAAGTACTTGTCTCGATCGTACTTTTCAGTACTACCATAGAGCCACCATCACACTTCACATCACACAAAGTCATGAAATGACCATCACTTTGAAATGAATCAACGATCAATTCTATGGTTTCTGATCACTGTAACAACATTCCGATCATCAGATTCATTCCATGATCATCATATCCAACGGAAGCAGTTCACTACAATTCTAACCGCTACTATTTGATGATTATCATTTCCATGTGTATTCATACACACAAAATATTCCTGATGAATGTTGACCATGATGTGCACATTTGATGTGATCAATATAAATATGACATGATGATGAATGGAAACATGACCCGATGTTGATGATAATCACCTCAAAAATGCAGGGAGTTTTGGCTTCATTTTTTTTTAATTTTTTTTTGAAAAATTTTCATTTCATTTTTGACCTCGATGAAACTCCTTCAAACTTGATTTTCTCGAAAACTACCCTAAACCTGATCGAATGCTCTATCATGACCCCCATTATTTTCGTGAGATCTACAAAAAAGGTGTCGCTTAAATTCTATCAAAAATTTGACACCTGTTACCATTTGTTGAACGACTCAACCAGCTTAGCTCACTATCCAATGATGTCGCTAGCACGAATATACTACTCTTCAAAATCTATCGAATGATGTGCTTGGATCATGCTCAACATCAAAGATGACGAAAACCCCGACCATGCAAAAGAGGTCTACTTTAAGCGAATACAGTTCAATAACTACCCTTAATTAATGGATGAAAGTCATGTCAACACATAGATATACCTCCATACACGATCTTTAAAAAAAAATTAAAAATCCCATCATTAAGCATATTAAGCATGTCGAAAAATTAAGATTAAAAGTCAAGCGGGTCACCTATCCAAACCCTGTTTAGTTTGTGTCTATCATTACCTACCACCAACATGGATCCATCACATTGTAGTAAACCAACCGCCAGTAAGAGTACTGATCAAGGTCACCATAGCAATAGACCTGTAGCTAGCTCTAGTTCTGAATCAATCTCCACATGAAGCTCATCACACTGAAACCGAAGAATACCATGAGAAGAAATCTCATCGTAGAGAAGAGCTTGATGAAGAAGACAATGAAAATGTTGAAGAAGAATTCAACCTCCTCAATCAAAAATATGGCCCATTTACAGTGGACAGGTTTGCCTCCAAAGACAACCGCCATTTAATCAAATTCAATTCTTGGAATCATCATCAAGATGCTTTCAACGAGGATTGGAATCAAGACAACAATTACATGGTTCCTCCTCTTTCCCTGATTCCTCAAACCATCTTGAAAATCATCAAGAACCAAGCGAAGGGTTTATTGATTATTCCCAATTGGAGCAGCTCTTGGTGGTATCCACTACTGCTAAGAATCTCAGTCAAGACAGAACCATTTCATCCAAAGATGCTTATCAACAAGCAATCTTCAGAGCTATTGAAAAACTCAAAATGGACCGAGTTCTTAGCAATGAAAGTGAACGGAGAACTCTATTAACTGAAGGTTATAGACGTCTTTGTATTGAAACTGAATATTCCAGTAATTACATTTTCAATCTAAGGAGATGTTTTAAAAGATATCAAAATTATAGATTTTGGTATCAACTTCCGTTCACTTATGAGTCCGGAGAAGAATTTATCTATCATGAATTAGATTCTGGAAAAGGTTGGGAAATCCCTTTAATCAAAACTTCTCTTTCCTTTTTCGCCTTTTTATTGAAAATTCCATTTGAATGGAAAGAAGAGATTGATTCTATTATTCGTGGAGCCAACAAATTGTATAATAGAACCCAACGACATACAAAAGAAAGAGAACCATTATTAATTGAACACATATCCAGATTCAATTCTATGTACAATCCAATTTCTCAAGAAGACAAATTCGACAAGCTACTAATTTTGGTAACTCTAGTCATTGGTTTCAGAACACTTTTCAGACCGAGTGACTTGGCATCAATGAAATGGTCTGATGTTGAAGTGGATAAACCTCATTTTAACTGGATTACCATTAAAGATTGGTGGTATAAGACTGATCAAGATGGTAGGAATCATAATGTAGTGGTTATTGAACCTGCAAAGAACACTTTAATATGCCCAGTTGCAATCATTAAGCAGTACATTGCTGAAGTTGAAAATATCAAACATCCTAACAGTCCGTTCCTTTCTCAAAAGGATAACTTGTTCTTAACAAGGGACGATATTTGCTATTTTCTTAAATTCCTTTGCAAGGTTCTCAATATCAAAGATCACCTAACAGGCCATTCAATGAGAATTGGTAGTGCAACCAAAATTACACAAGAAGGTGAACATTTTGATATTGTAGAGTTTGCTGGTAATTGGAATTCTCTATCATATAGAGCTTATATTAAGAGTATTGCTTTAGCAAACAGAGGTCTATCCTCAACGATTTTCAAAGAGAATTCACAACCAAATGCTCAATCCTTGCACCCTCTGAACCAAACCAATTTGTAAATATTATTACTATAGTTTCTTTACATAGACTGTAACACGAACGTGTTTAAGTTTGTAAAAAACTATTTTAGTAATAATATTGATCAAAACATTGCTCAAAAAATTGTTTAGTTTGTGTCTCCCTCCCTTATTTAGTTACCTCCCCTTATCAGCAATTTGCAATGTTTTTTTCATTCCAAGGATTACGCATTTCTTTCTCTTTGTCACACATATTCACATATTCACTCACTTTCACACATACACAACTATCGACACCTTGTGTCATTAATGATCTCAGTAGAGATTACCAATTATTCATAATAGTTGGTTGTCTGATATCATGTATCAGATTTATATCACTTTTGAGATTTTGAGATTTGTACATCATCATTATCTTGCTTCCAGTTTGTATCCTTTATTTCCGGTAAGGATAAAGGAGATATCTCAGGGATATCTTGTTGCTTAAATGGAAGCCTTTATTTTATTCATTAACTATTTTTTATTTAATGACTGATTTATTTAACATTTCTTCAATGACTCACGTGTGAAGTTAGAAATATTTGGTAAGTCAGTTTTTGTTCAATACAAGTACTTGGTTTCCTTTGGCCTTGTCATTCAGGTCCTGTTTTAATTTCTAACTTCAAGAGTATCATAAATCGAAGGTAGTTAAAAGACGGCATGTCATCCATTCCTTTTAACTAGGCAGAGATTTTTCACAATCTGGTTTGTTGTGTTTTTTCATCTCTGTGATTTGTGATACTCTCCCTCGATACCAATCTATATTGGTTTATTACCCTTACTTTAAGGGTTCATTCACTAGTTAGACAGAGCTAAACATGTTAGAGTATCTCTAATAGAGCTAATAAACAATTTGTAAATATTATTACTATAGTTTCTTTACACAGCAAAAACAGTGAGCGCTAAGAACAGTAGAGCTATTGCGAATGAAGCAACAGGGAGAAATGTCTTGTCATGGTTGATTGGGTTCGTTCTCATTTTCCTTATGGTGGCTAATTAATGACTGCTAGTTCAATAAAGAGGGTTATTGGAATGAGTTCATTGTCCATCAAATAATATTGTCAATCACACCCAACATTGAAAAAAAAGCGTGTTAAGCTGTCAATGATTCAAATTCTGAATTTGTCTGGAATACCATTTCGCAGAATTTTTCACATGTCGTGTTAAATTCGAGTCCTTGTAATCGACATAAATAATGCCAAACCGTTTGGAATATCCATCACTCCATTCGTAATTATCCAACATGGACCATACATAATATGCCTTCACAGAGACCTTATCTTTGAAAATGGACATGGATATTTGTTTCAAATATTCCTTAATATAATTTAAACGAAATGTATCATTCAATGGCTCACATAACGAGAGGTGTAATGATTCAATCCAATAAAATCAAAGCTCTTTGCTAATATCTGTTGTTCTTCAATGGTAAACTCAGGAAGGCGTTCTTTGCCTACTAAATCTTTCATGACTTGTGGATAATCTCCAAAAACAATAGGATCAGCAAACCAACCAAGATCAAATAATTGTTGTCGTTCTGCTGCTTCAATATCCAATGGATCATTTTCATTGAGTGGTTCGTTATAATTTGAATTTAAAGCAATACCTATTTTTCCCTGTTGTATTGACTGATATTTTGAGCGATAAATTTTAACAGCATGAGCATGAGCAAGTAATTGATGATGTGCAGCCAAATATGGTTCAGTTGAGCTGTTGCCATATGTTCTGCTGTTTACACTTGAATCATTGTTTTCACTTTTATCTGGAGTGCGTATTCCTGGAGCATTAACACCAACTCCATAACCCAACCATGCCACCACCCATGGCTCATTTAACGTAATCCACAACTTGACACGGTCTCCGAACAATTGAAAACATAAATCCGCATAATCACAAAACGCAGAGATTGAAACATTCTTATTGAGCCAGCCTCCAAATACAGACTCTAAATATTGAGGGTAATCCCAATGAAACTTGATGTTGAAATATGAGAGAGTGCCAATGAAGAGTGAGTATTATTCCAACAATCCTTGTGAATGTGAACAAACCTACCAAAGTGATCATCACGTTAATTCCTTTTGAAATTAAATAATTAATTTCCATATTATAATGATCAATTCCTTGTTGATTAACTCCTCCCGATAACAATCCATTTGGTAAAATCCTTGTCCATGAAATTGACATTCTATAATTTTTAATTCCCAAATCATACAACAAATCGACGTCTTGTCTCACTTTATGGTAATGATCATCGGCCACATCTCCTGTATCACCATTTGCAGTTTTTCCAAGTGTATGTGAGAACTCATCCCAAATACTCATACCCCTTCCATCATCATTGTAGGCCCCTTCAATTTGATAAGCTGCTGTGGCTGTTCCGAAAATAAAATCAGAGGGGAAGGGAATTATATTATCATTCTCAAGCAATAGGAGATCTTGATCTGAATTTTGTTTGGGTCTGAACAATATGAACGAGATCAAAGAAAGCGAGACATACTTGAAGTCATTTTTTCATAGTTTGGGTTGACGCATACGGTGCAGTTTGTTGCCCCATCATTTTGTGGTTTTCAGTGCAGGAATGACAATTGAGCTGAAATACGTCAAAGACAATGCCATGGTTTTACACTGGTTGTTTCATTCCACAAGAGATATCATGACTTTCCCATTCTCATTCGAGAGATTCATCTTGTCTATTTTGCACGAAATGACATCTTGAGAATGGACACATTCACCAAAACCTGGAGATGTTTTACAGATCTAGTCTTCACTCGCATTGTGTCATTGACAAATTTGTTCCTGTCAGAGTTCATTCTTGCTCTCCTTCGCCTAACCATTGTGACATTAATTTTCAACAAAAACAATCATCCGACTCTCCCTGCTGGTTCAATATCTCTTCATCGGTTACCAATGCCGTTCAAGACTGACGGGTTGCTCTTTGAATCTTTCCTTACAACCACCATGTATCACATGTTGCAACAGAGCAACAACAACAACTCTTCATCATCTGCGAATACCAGCTCACAACAACCTCCTCCCATCACACTAGGACAATTAGACAAGCTATCTTTCTCCATTCCCGACCTTATATTAGCTTCCCTGCTTGCATGTACTCTCCTACTAGTGACCATCTTTATCATCCTCTTCAACACGTGTTGGCAAAAGAAAGCTTTACGATCATCCAAAGGACACCATCACTCCGAGAATGCCATGAAACGAAATCAACGAATCATGATTGGTCTGATCCTTCTCCTCGTTCTCGTTCAAGCACTCGGAATGACTTGTCGATGTATTTACACTTCCATCAACATGTCCATTGTTTCTCTTGCACGACAATTTGTTTCCACTCATTACCCTACCAACAGTACACTCTATATGGAAACCTTTCTCTATGAGAATAGCTCTCTCATCATTACGGATGCCAATATTCCATACTCTCATCTCGTGGGAATGAATGTGGCCAATACTCTCGAGTTGTTGTTTACCTTATCGAATTTGAGTGTTCTCATGTCCATCATGTGCTTTATTGGTAATGTGTTCATTCGGACCGTGAAATTAGCCAATGCTCAAGAATCATTCCTAGGTGCTGGCTACAAGACTGCAACATTCATCTTTAATGTTTCAACAGTTATATTTTCCTTAACAGTGTTGGCAGTGGTATGGACAGTTGCCATCATGTCCTCCTTCATCCGATTGAAATTAGTTCAGGATATTCAAATTTACTTGTACGTCATTGGATTTCTGATCTTTCTCTTCCAAATATTACTCCAATTAGCTGCAACCATTGTAAGTATTCTTACATGTATTTTTTTGTAAAGTACTTACCTTCATGAACACGACAAGGCCATTTCCTTCAAAGTTTTACAAGTTATCAACTCGAATCGTTCCAAACACATCAAAAACAACTCTCAAATGAAACGTGCCTTCATTAAGGTCGTGATTTTACAAGTGACTCTCACGCTGAGTGCCTTGCTTCAAATTATTGCTGTGGCTTTTGGTGCTGTCATTTCCGAATGGAAATATTTTAGTTTGTTTTATTTGGTATTGAATAATTTGGGAATTTTAATATTTGCAGTGGTGGCATTGGCCTTGTATCATCCCATCTTTCATTTTGGAAATACCAAAGAGCAACCAATTCCCACCTCGGACTATCCGTATCATGAAAGTATTTATAGTACGAGAAAACGAAATTCAAGTGCATTGCCGAATTCGACTGTTTCTTCGACAACGAGTACAAATGCTGCAACCGTGAATTCTCCATGTTTGAATGGAGCAATGGAAACAACAGACTCCAACTCGCATAGTTTGAATGCTCCTTCTTCAACTTTACAAGAGCAACAACAATTTGAAACACCTCCTTTCGAAAATGGGACGCCATGCCGTCCTGTCATCAAAAGTGAAGACGCTCATGTATGAAATTTGTTACAGCAACAAGTGGATTTTAATACTAATTTTTATCGAAACATAATCAATATGTTTTGAATGAATTGAGGAAATGACAGGAGTAGGAAGTTGAACTGTTGCAAGTTCCCTCACTGAGCTTTCTCGGATTTGTTCAAAACCTTAATATTCGAATGGAACCATTCTCGATCCAACGAACAATCTTGTCACAGACTGAATAAATGATGGCTTCCTTTTTTAGAAATTTGATATGGAACAAGACCTTTTGTTCTTTAAAGGACACAGGAAAAACCAACAGAAAAAAATGAATCTATTCAAATTAAAGAGTACAACATCCACGCATGAATTTGTGCCAGATGTCACACACATCGCTATCAAAAACTGGACCAGCGAGAATTTCAAACATTGGCTGATGAGTGAAAAATATGACCAAAAAACTGTCATTGATGGTATGTTTTCCACGCAATCTTGTATTCAATCATTCAATACTCTACGTTTTACGTGGAAATAATTGAAATAATATTCATTCCGACATCATTTGATGATTATTTTTCATTTGAATCTATCTCATTGAATCAATTTCAAATTTTATATTAAATATTTAAAACATGTCCAAATGCATGGACATTCGACACTCATGGCTCAACATACAGTCCTCATGAAACAACAACTCACTGGAAATGCCATTCTCTGTTTAACCAAAGATTTAACTGAATTCAAAGTTCCAACAGGAGCTGCCATTTCCATTATTGCCAAATTGGACAAACTCAGACAAGAACAAGAAGAATGGATGCAACAACCTCAAACCAAACAACTCTTTTCCTTGTCCTATCCGTCTGCAACAACCACAACAGAACCATTTTCAAATTCGGAAAATCATGAATCTATTTCTGTTGTGGATTCTAATGAGAATGTTGATTCACAAACTTCTCCGAGAGCAATTCCAAAACAACCTCAAACTCCAACTGTTCAGCCCATCATTCATCATGCTGAACAAGATCATCCTGGGTCGAGCATGCACTCACTGAGCGGTCATTCCTCAACAATTCAACAAATTTCTCCCCGTAATCATCATTGTGCTCAGGAAGAACAACTACACTCGACAGACAAAGTAAGTCCGAGAAGGGATCATCATCCTAAACCTTTGCCAACACTTCCTCATTCAGCATCATCTTCAACAAAACCAAATACTCCAATTCCTCCCATGAAGAGATCAAGTTCTGTTCAAGCGAATGGGACCAATCCAAACAACAACAGGCTGAATTCTTTCAGCACTACAACGACGACCACTACGACTCAGCAACAACAACCCATACTTCAACAGACTCAACAACAATCTCCTCGACAGACCCCTCCTCAATATCAACCACCTCCACAACAATCAAGTCCAACGAATGTGCAACAAGACCACAAGAATACGAGATCAAAGAAATTTGTAGATGCTGGCTTCTTCCCTGAGGATGAATTGTAGCAGTCGCAGAACTTGTTGTTAGTTGAGGTTTTATTTGAGGAGATCTTTGAGGAACGATTATGTAACACAACGTTACAGACTTCATCTCCTCTTACATTGAAAAGACATCCATTTGAATCAAATCAATTTGACTTTGCTCCACGGTATAAATAGATGGTTTTTTCTTGTTTTCTCTCTTTTTCTTGTACTTCTTCCTCAAAATGAATAGGACACACATGCAACACATGATGACGAGACACATTAGCAGCAGACCAACAGGTAAAAGGAACCACAAAAACGTGGTGCCAACGGTAGACGAAGAATTTTGTGGCTTTGGATGAGAAGATTTTTCTGCTTCTGGCAGATTATCAATTGAAACCTTGACATTTGTTGTAACTGTGGTGTCTTTGGTAATGGCAAACAAACCAAAATGGAGGCATTGACATGTCATCACTTGGTCAGTAATAGGCATCACTAAATTACAAGTTGTGTCAGAAATCCACATTCCCTGTTGGAGATATCTGCAGGAAAAGGTCTCCTCGATTTGTATCGTCTTGTTGAATAAGGTGCCATTGTTGTTAAATAATGTAGTACTGCTAGAAGCTTTCTTAATTTGGCCTGTAGTGTTTATGTCTATTACAGGAATAGAAACACTAATCTTACTATCATTAAGAGAGGGTGAGGCTATTTGTGATGATTCAATGGATACAAATACAAAATATTTGGAAACAAAGTAGGAATAAGTATCAACCGTGGTGTTCAAAGAGCCCGCTTGAGAGGAGCGTGGTAATGTGCTATTCCAATTATAAAAATCGTTCATAGTATAAACAACATGCTCGACAGGTGTTTTTGTTGATTTCTGATTGATCGATTGAATAATATTCTCTGGATATAAAACAGTTCGTTCCTTGTTAGAAGAATCCATGAAATATGGTACAACAAGGCTTGGGAAGTCTTTTCTCCACAATTTGTTAGTGGTTAGCGTGGAAAATTTTGCTTTCAAATGTACATTCTTCTCACCCACTTGCTGACCTCTCAGCAATAACTTTCCGACACACTGAATGATATTCAATAACTTCTCTTGAATATAAATGTAGGGACCATTATTTTTGTAGAGGATGTAATTGTAGATTGAGTTCATTGCCTCAATGATCAATTGGTCCACTCCATATGGTAATACTAGATTGGTAGTATTTAACGCAAGCTGAACAATATCTTCAGTAACTTCGACAACACTTGTTATGGATGAGTCATTAAATTCATCATAATTGAAAGTAAGAGATTGTAGACCATATGCTTGCAATGTCAAATACACGTCACTTAATTTCTCCAAACGATTTCTATTGGTATAGCTTGAAATAAATGTTTGTGTCTCATTGAACTTTAAGTCAATCAAGTATTGATAGGTACTTTTAGATACGCTACAATCACGTTTGAAGTAGCCTGTATTGCAATCACACATTTCTTTTTCTTCGTTGTAACTGCCTTGTCCATTACACTTGTCACTTGTGGTCATTCTTCTCCGTTGTACATTTTCATTCAGTTGCTTTAAAACTCCAATAGTTGTTCTTGAAATGGTTCCTGCATTGTAAATACTCTTGCCAGAATCTCCATCTCTTAAATTATTTTCAATCGTTTTCCATTGCATGGTCTTGGCCCGAAGTTCAGCCATGGAGATCACTTGTGGATTATAAATTTTAACATTGATATTTTTAGTGTTTCTACTCATGGTTTGAGGGTCAAAAACATCTAAAAATACCTTCATTGTATTTCCTTGGAAAGGCAATGGGAGTTTTGTGGAGTATCTTTCTCCTGCATGATAGAGTGGTACATTAGCCCCAGATCTATCGTCTACAAAGCCGAACGAGTATTCTACCAGTTTTGTTGGATTGTTACAATTAATACATTTGAATAAAAAATCGGTTTCTAAGGCCACTCCTTCTGTAGGGGTTAATGAACATATGCAAGAATTGGGACTTCGAGCTATTTGGAAGCGATGTGTTCGAGTTGCTGACAATGTTGTACGTAAATCAAGGGCAGTAAGAGAAACTGAATGATTAGAACCCTCTTCCAGCTTGGAAGAATCAATGAGTATGTAATCTGAATGATTGAGGCTCTTATCAGGCATTCTATTGATAAGTATTTCATCAATGTATTTTCCATTAAGAGCCCACTGTGTTAAAACATCATTTGCACTTGCAATGGAATATTGAATACTCAATATTGTGCCTTGAGTAATCGAGGGCTTGGAAGGTTTGATTTCAATAATGTTAATGATTGGAGAATTATCAAATGCAATCATAACACTGGATTGTGCGCTTCGTGTTCCTTTAGTTACTTTCAGAGAAATCTCAAGTTGCTCCGCATATTCGTTTGTTATTTGAATGGAGTTATTTTGGAAAACAGAAGCATCTGATAGTAATTGTTGAATGCTGTCCGAGCATAATCCATTGTAAACTACATCTCTGCACGTCCATTGATAAAATAAGGTGTCCGTAGTTTCATCCGGATCATTCATTTCAGCAATAATATTAATGGTAGATGATGTCAATTTTTCTGAAGAAATATCCAATATGAGGTCTTGTGGTACTGTATAAATGGTAACTAATTGCTCTGAGAGAAGAGAATTGTCGGTTACTCTTAAAAGTTGAAGAGCATATTGGTATGAACGTTCTCCAGAAAAGTAAAATTTGGAAATTAACAAATTATTGAAAGAGTCTGATTGGTAGTCGGTTTTTGGTCCACTCAGTTGTTTCCAAACCAATTTTACAGATGTGGCAAGGTCTCCATTATCGCATACAGGTAATTTCAGAGACTTCTTGATCAATAACGGAAGATCATTAGAGGTAATGTTAGCAATAACGTTCTTGCCAACAATTTCAATGGATGGAATGGGTGTTGGCTCTCTTTCAAATGTCACAGTTTTTGCAATACTCAAACTACCAGAGAATGTGCTTCGAACTTGCAATGAAATGGTATGAATACCGCTTTGCAATTGAGCGGAAGAGAGTTTGATTGTTGCGTTACCATTAATCTGGTTCAACATTTGTTGTAGTATAGATTGTGATGGTGATGACATTGCAGTCCAATTAAACCGTAATTCTCTTCCATCTCCAGAAAATGAAGCACTTCCATCCAATTCAATATCGTTACACAATCCAACACGTGTTGAAGAAATATCAACGAATGCCATCGGTTGTATGGGAGTTGTGGCTCCAATGACTTGTACGGATACATAATCAGACACGTTTACGCGAATGTTGAAAACATTTCTATTCAATCTAATGAACTGGTTGGGTAAAATCGAAGGATTTTCACCAAATCGAATCATGAATAGCCCGCTATCCTTGTGTGTCCATCCACAAATAGGGGATGTACCAAATTCATTAGATGTTAATTCTAACAACTTAGAACACTCAATATTGACACTACTGAAAGATGCTGGAGCGAACACATGGAATATTAATGCACTACCCAAGTCGTTGAATTGTGGTTGACCAACAAACTTGGTTGCACATTCCTCTCCATAATAACCGTTTAAGCACATGTCGCACCTATTGCCAGCCCAATAACCTTGTGATGACGATTGATAACATGAACATTGTCCATTCGCAATACAGGCTCCATGTCCAGAGCAGTTAGTTTCTTTGGAACAATAAATATCACATGACTGTCCAAAATAATTCTCTCTACATTCATCACAAAATCTTCCGTTCCAGTTGTCCCTGCATGCGCATTGTAAATTTTCACATTCTCCATGGTTATTGCATGTGGATGTAGAATTACATGTTGGAATATTACATTTTGGTCCAGTATGAGTTGGAAGACAACTCTCACAATTATAACCATACCAGAAGCCATCTTGTTCATTGCTCGAGCAGTTACAATAATTATAAGCAATGCATTGGCCATGTCCACCACAAACACTCGAATTTTGAGCGTCAATTCCAAAGCAACTTGTTAATTGGCAATATTCTCCAGAATATCCGTCGTTACATTTGCATCCTCCTTCACGAGTTGTGGAATTTAAAACGCAGTCTCCATTTCCGTTAGAACATACTCTTTGATCAGTTGAAGCAAAGTAACGGTTATTAGAACCTTTACATGACAAGTTTTCACATTCAAATCCATCGACTTTTAAAGAATATCCAGTGGATGTGACACAAGTACAGTGATTCGGAGTCATGCAAAATCCCTTTCCGCTGCAAACGCTTGCATTGTCTGACCCTAATTTGCCAAAACAAATTGGTGTATCACAAAATTGCCCACCATAATTATTTCCAGAGCATGTGCATGTATCAGGAGAGACACATTCACCATTTCCATTACAAACACGAGTGGAATCATTCGACAGGATGGAATTACAAGTAGCAAATTGGCACTGATCACCACTGTATCCGTTCATACATTTACATTTGTTGTGAGCAATGCATTGCCCATGTGAAGAGCAGGCTGAGCTTACGGTTGTAGAATTGATGCCAAAACATGTTGTCAGTTCACAATTAGTACCTTCATAAAACTCGTTACAGTCACAAGAGTTGAAATCAATACATTGACCAGAACCTGAGCAAACTGCACTTTCATTGCTTGAAATTCCGAAACAACTTGTGAGAGAACAATTTGTTCCAAAATAATTGTGGTCACAAGTACAATTATTGAAGCTGGTACATTGTCCATGTGAGTTGCAAGCATTAGAATCATTATTCCAACTATTGAAGCAAGAAGTAATGTTGCAGCTATCTCCAAAATAATTCTCATAACAAGTGCAATTGTTAGTACTGGAACAAAATCCATGACCACTACACACATTCCCATCTGTTGAGTTGATTCCAAAGCATTGAACATCAGCTACATAGTTGCTGTTATTAGCTGTAGAACCAGTCTCTACTCTAATAGAGCAATTGTTTCCTGTGTAATTTGTGTAGCAAGAGCAGTGATCAAACCTAGAACAGTTTCCATGGCCGTTGCAAACAAAAGGATCTGAACTATTGATACCAAAACAAGTTGTGGTTTCGCATTCTTGCCCAAAATAATTGAGAGAACAATTACATATATTTGGAGCTGTGCAGTTGCCATTACCATTGCATGTTGTCGTTTCATTCATTCTCACATAAAAGCAGTCATATGTGTTACAACTCTGACCATAGTATCCATTATTACACGCACAATAGTTTGGCAAGATGCATTCTCCGTTTCCAGAGCACGTGTTAGAGCTGTTGCCATACTGACCAAAACAAATTGGTACAGAACAGTTTGCACCCACCCAATCTGCATCACAATAGCACACATCTTTTGAAATACATTTTCCATGAGAGTTGCATGCAGAACTTCCTGATATGTTAAAACATGTTGACTCACTACAGTTACTTGCCAGCCATCCCGAAAAACATTCACATACATTGTTTGAGATGCAGTTACCGTTTCCTGAGCATGTATTAGCAGTGTCGTTGCCAATAATTCCAAAGCAATAGGGTATCGAACAATTTACACCTGCCCAACCATTATGACAATTGCAAACTCCATCATCTTGACATGTTCCATGTCCTCCACAAACATTTGAATTGTTTCTCGACAATCCATTGCAATATCTCAATGAACAGTTCATACCTTCATAAAATTCGTGACAGTCACACGAGTTGAAATCAATACATTGCCCAGAACCTGAGCAAACTGCACTTTCATTGCTTGAAATTCCGAAACAACTTGTGAGAGAACAATTTGTTCCAAAATAATTGTGGTCACAAGTACAATTATTGAAGCTGGTACATTGTCCATGTGAATTACACGCAGATGAGTCATTACCAATAATTCCAAAGCAATAGGGTATCGAGCAATTTACACCTGCCCAAACATTTTGACAATTGCAAACTCCATCATCTTGACATGTTCCATGTCCTCCACAAATATTTGAATTGTTTCTCGATAATCCATTGCAATATCTCAATGAACAGTTCATACCTTCATAAAATTCGTGACAGTCACACGAGTTGAAATCAATACATTGTCCAGAACCTGAACAAACTGAACTTTCATTGCTTGAAATTCCGAAACAACTTGTGAGAGAACAATTCAATCCAAAGTAATTCAAATCACATGTACAATTATCGAAGCTGGTACATTGTCCATGTGAGTTGCAAACTGATGTGTTATCAGATCTAACTCCAAAGCAAGTGGTGAGAGAGCAATTTGTTCCAAAGTAATTCAAATCACAGCTGCAATTATTGAAGCTGGTACATTGTCCGTGAGAATTGCAGGCAGATGAGTCATTGCCAATAATTCCAAAACAATACGGTATCGAGCAGTTTGAACCAACCCAACCATTATAACAATTGCAAATTCCATCGTCTTGACATGTTCCATGTCCTCCACAAACATTTGAATTGTTTCTAGACATCCCATTGCAATATTTAAACGAGCAGTTGTAGCCTTCAAACAATTCTTTACAATTGCAGGTATTAAAGTCAATACAGACACCATTACCTGAGCAACCATCGCTGTCGTTGCTGGCGTGCCCAAAACAAGTGGTGAGAGAACAATTTGTTCCAAAATAATTGTGGTCACAAGTACAATTATTGAAGCTGGTACATTGTCCATGTGAATTGCACGCAGATGAGTCATTACCAATAATTCCAAAGCAATAGGGTATCGAGCAATTTACACCTGCCCAACCATTTTGACAATTGCAAACTCCATCATCTTGACATGTTCCATGTCCTCCACAAATATTTGAATTGTTTCTCGATAATCCATTGCAATATCTCAATGAACAGTTCATACCTTCATAAAATTCGTGACAGTCACACGAGTTGAAATCAATACATTGCCCAGAACCTGAACAAACTGAACTTTCATTGCTTGAAATTCCGAAACAACTTGTGAGAGAACAATTCAATCCAAAGTAATTCAAATCACATGTACAATTATCGAAGCTGGTACATTGTCCATGTGAGTTGCAAACTGATGTGTTATCAGATCTAACTCCAAAGCAAGTGGTGAGAGAGCAATTCGATCCAAAATAATTCAAATCACAGCTGCAATTATTGACGCTGGTACATTTTCCAAGTGAGTTGCAAACGGAATTATTGTCAGATCTAATTCCAAAACAGGTTGTGATAGAGCAATTCGATCCAAAATAATTCTCATAGCAAGTGCAATTATCAAACCCATCACAAGATCCATGACCGCTGCAAACTAATGAATCATTTGACATCGTTCCAAAACATTTCATCAAATCACACTTGTCGCCATAGAAGTGAGGGTAGCACGAGCAACGGTCATTCTGCAAGCATTCACCATTGTTACTGCAAACAGAATTGTTATCAGATCTAATTCCGAAACAAGTTGTGAGAGAGCAATTTGCTCCAAAGTAATTATGGTCACATGTACAATTATTGAAGCTGCTACATTGTCCATGTGAGTTACATGCTAGAGAGGAGTTGGATTGCACGCCGAAACACAATGTAAACTCACATACATTTCCAAAATATGTTTCGTTACAAGCACAAGTATCTCGAAGAATACATGATCCATGTCCATTACAAACTTTTGTGTCGTTTGCCAATGTTCCATTACATATTGGAATTTCACATTGATTACCAATATATCCGTCATAACATGTACATTGATCTTTGGAAATACAATTTCCTTTGGACCCACATACAGATGATTCATTTGAAAATCTTCCAAAGCATGTAGTGATATTGCAAGAGTTTCCATAATAATCTTGCTCACACACACAACTATGCGGACTTGAACAATTTCCATTGCCGTTGCAGGTAGTAGGATCAGTACTTAAAACTCCAAAGCAAGTGGTAACGGAGCAATTAGCTCCAAAATAATTGGGAAAGCATTGACAATTGTTGGGAGAGCTACAATTTCCATTTCCTGAACAAACACTGGGATCAGAAGCTAAAATAGATGAGCATACTGGAACATCACAAAAATCACCCTGCCATCCGGTAGAACACACCAAATACATTCTTCTAATTCTATACGCTTCGAAAGTAATATATTCTTTTCTTTGAGATGACCATGCAATGCTGTAAATGTAAGTCAATGCTGTATTAATTGCATTAGCATTTTCAGCTGTTCAACAAGAAGAATTAAGTGATATTAAGTGTTATTATGATATTGAATTAAGCTCTTAAAATCATGCACTTACATGTACCCATTCCATTTCCAGCTACAGAATACAGATTTCCAACACTATCTATTTTCTTCAAGTATTGCTGTCCAGTTCCAAAAAATACTTCATTATTGATAGAAAATGCCCAACCCATATCAGCAACGTACTGTTAAAAGTAAGAATTATAGTTTGACATTCTATTACTTACTGACAACGATCTGCCAATAGTGTTTACAATTCCAGAATTGATATTATAAACTCTAATTTTGCTCAATGAGGTGTCCACGTAGTATAGAAGACCATTCGGTGTGATTTGAAGTGTTGTTCCTTAATTGTAGAAGATTCATGGTGGTTGAAAAATCGTTGTTGTTGTTTTGAAAAATACTTACCACATGTTACCTATATCATTCTCTATTAAAGTAACAAATATGTAGTAAAATAAACTTACACTTGATGCTGTTCCTAATATGTTATCTGTATTTGAACCTCCTCCTCCTACAACAGTATAAACTTTTCCATCTACTTTTGAAATTTTTCTTATTTTCTGATAGACAGAGAAATATAATTCTCCATCATAAAAAGCTACAGCACGAGGAAACTGCCCGAGTATGATTGTAACTCTTTTCCACATTTTCAAACATTAACTTACATTCAACCCACAAGCAGTTGGAGCAGTGCCATCAGCACAGTCTGTACTACTTCCTGATCCAGCAACCAAAATTATAATACCCGTTTGTTTTGAAACTTTTTTAATTGAGTAGGTTCCTTGTTCAGCAATAATCAAGTCTCCACTATCATCTATCGCAAGTCCACTTAGTTGGTTAAATCTGAAAGAGTATGAGAATTCGTGTTGGAAATTGTTAATATGTTTGAACTTTACCTTGCCATAATGGCTGGACCATTCAAACCAGCAGCAGAAGAAGGTGCTTGATATGATGAAATGAAACATTGTCCTAAATATTGACAAAAAGAGTCTCGTAAATGTAATTGATGAATAAACTTACCTGCATATGTTTTGATTAACTGGCTTGTCATGTTGTAAAATTTGATGCAAGCGGAATCTGATTCGCTGTAATAAAAGTTTCCATCACGATCCATCACTTGCGCTCTAAAAGAGCTAATTGGTGATTGTTTTGCAGGATTATAGTTTACAAAAATACTAGCAGTATTAATGATCGAGCTTAGAATAGAACCGGTATATTTTCTAAGTCTGGATCCAAAAGCTTCTGAGAAATAAATAACGCCAGCACTATCGATAGCAATACCACGCACATCCGCAAGCGCAACAGATGTACCAGATGTAATAGAGCCATCAGCTTGTTAATGATGAAAATGATGATTCCGTAACTAAATTTAATCTATAACAAACATACCTGTTGAGTAATATTGGCCAGTTCCCAGTACATGTGTAAAAGTACCTCCAGAAGAATATTTTGAAATGTAATAGTTTCTATGAGCAACTCAATTCAAGTCGACTTATTTTTGCTCATACTAATACTTACTGTGTAATATATAAATCTCCACTAATACTATCATAAAACATTTTAGAAGGATATGCAAGAGATCCAGTTCCTCCAGTTCCAACAAGTGTGTTCACTGTTGTCAATGTTCCACCATTATTTGTAATTTTTCGTACTCTGAACGTGTCCTTTTTTTCGAAGTATATTAGTAATGTCATAAAAAATTGAATTACTTACTAATACTAAAATGTTTCCTTGGTTGTCCTTAAATGTTCCTCGTTATCTAAAACAACAATTCAAAGACACTTACAATTTTCAAATCATATATTGAATTAAATAAGGTACTGCTAACAGGACTTCCCTCTACAACTGTACCACTACTTGCTCCTCCTGCTACAGTTGTTACTGCCAATGTTGAACCATCTACTTTTCTGATCCTAGAACCATCACATACATAAATGTCATCATTTGAATGAACAAATAGGCAAGATATTGAAGAAAATTTTGCAGACAATGGGTTAGTGTGGTCTATTGTTCCAGAAGAAGTACCTCCTATTGGAAGAAATATATGCACAACAATATTCGTTTGATGATGATTGCTATTATTCAACAACAACCTGACTTACCTGCCAATAAGCTAACATATCCAGTAGTCATATCAATTTGTCTAATGGCAGTATTTTCTCCTACAAGGAGCTTGGAATTCGATCTCCACCATGCAAGTCCATTTGGAGAATATAATGCTTGTGCATTTGCTGCTAGCCCCGTTGAAGTGCTACATAGAAGTAATGATGTGAGTCTGTATACATGAAACGCAATAACATACCTATAACCTCTAACCCCTGTACCAAGTACCGTAGTCACCATGTTGGTATTCAAATCAACCCTTCTTAGTCTATAATAGTCTGAATAGTAAATGAAGGATTGAGTGGGATCTAGCAACAAAGATAAGCCTCCGGACATGCCAGACTGAGATGAAGTCAAATTTTCTCCAGCAAAGCCATTCCCTCCCTATATCATATCGAATCCGTGTGATGATGAAAAAATTATTCTCATGTTCGCATGATGAATTGTTACAGGTAACCTACCGTGCCGGCAAGAGTTTCCATATAGTATTCGAAATTAGCACACTGTACCACCTTAGTATTGTGTAGTAGTAAGCAAAAAAGTAACGAGATTCCAACAAACAACGCTGGAAAAAATATGAGTCCCTTATTTTCCATTTTGAGGATTTTTTTTGTGTACAACAACACAGGTTGGCTTGCCACCAAACGAGTTTTCGAAATTTGAATATTCCTTTTTCGCTCTGCTCCTTGATAAGGCAAACCAGCGTAAATAGAGGCCTAAAAACAACCCACGAAGTGAGCTCTATACCGTGCTCATTGTGAATCGACGTCGATTATGTACACATTTGCCGTTCCGTACTTTCTCTACCAATAATTGGAACATTCTTGCAGTGGAGATGATCACGCTTTTAATTTTTCACAAGAATGTTCCAATCATTCTCGTTGGTACACGAGAGAAAGTACGGAATGGCAAAGTAAATCTGCCACCATCTCAAAACTTTCCGGTGTTCCTATTGATTGGTGTGATTACAACATACGTTATCATTCTGCAGTGGTCAAAATCTGCAGTGGTCAAAATCGATAATCACGATAGAAATGATGGGAAAAATTTAAAAGCGTGAATCGACCCATTTTTTGACGTGTGTGAGAAGGAAACAACATTGATCTCTTCTCAACAATTACAAAGTTGAGGTTTTATTCAAGATGAAAACATTGTACAATTTTTCATGAACATTTAAATCATTTACAACAAATCACACTTGCCAGCAGGTTTCTTCTCTGGTTCAGTTTGTTTAAACAAGAATGCTCGAATGGCCTCATCAAACACTCCCTTCACTCCTTGTTGTGTCTTGGCGGAACACTCGACATATTTCAAAGCTTTGATTTCTTGCTTCAACTTTTCTCCTTGATCAGCAGTGAGTGGTTGTTTACCCTTCTCACGCAATTTCTGTACGGTACTTTCATTCTCTCTCAAGTCAACTTGTGTACCAACGAGAATGATTGGAACATTCTTGCAGTGGTGAGAGACTTCTGGATGCCACTTCAAACGAACGTTATCGTAGCTGGATGGATTCACGACAGAGAAGCAAATGAGGAAGACGGAGGTTCCTGGGTAGGAGAGTGGACGCAAACGATCATATCTGATGACATTGTGTGTGTCGATGAGTGGTGTGTGTCATTGGTTAACGGTTGTCAATGAGATTTTGGTTTCAAAAGAAGTGTTGATCCAAAACAGAATAAGAGTACAAAAGCCGTTATCATCATCATCATCATTGGTTACTCATCACGTAAAGAACAACAAGATGTTAATACTTACTCTTCTTGACCAGCAGTATCCCACAATCCCAAGTTGATGGTCTTTCCATCAACCATAACGTTTGCAGAGTAGTTATCAAACACCGTTGGTACATATCTATTCGGGTCGTCATAACAACATATGGTCATTGTTATTGATGGTTGCGGTATGTGATCATGTGTATGATGATGGGGTGATGATTGAACAATGTGTGGAGAGTTCAGCGATGACGATGGTTGGAGAAACGAATCGTTTGTTGTTGTTGTTATTGTTGTAAAGAATCATGAAATTGTTGTTGTAAAAAACCAAAAGATGATTCGCAACATGACAATTTTGAAAAGTTATGGCCATGTGAGAATTCATATTGAGTTTGCGCACATCATCATCACACAATTATTATCATCATCATCACATAATAGTAACATCAAAATGGTTCACATCATTATGATTATATATTTTAAATTCACAATGATTCAATCGATGATGGATGAAACACGTAGTTCGTATGAGAAATGTGATGATGTTCATCATCTGCACTACTTACTCTTCAGGGAAGTGATTCTTGGCATATACATAGAGGAGACAGGTCTTACCGACAGCTCCGTCACCTACAATGACACATTTAATATGTTGGATGGTGGTCTTGCTCATTTCTGTGGGTTGTTGTCTGTATTTTTCGTTTGTGGTTGGCCGTTACCTAGAAGTGCAAATGTTGTCTTCGTTGTTGAGGTATTGACAATTTTTTGAAAGATGCTTGACATTTGACATAACATGACAAACAGCAAGTGGATTTGGGGAACACGGAAGTTTGACTCAGCAGAACATTGAACAAGGCCAAAAGAAACAAGTTGCCCAAGAAGTGCTCAGATAATCAAAGAAAGTCCAGAGAGACAAGCACAATAGGACGAATAAGGAAAAAGATTTAAGGGAACAGATTATGGAAAAAAAATCTCTGGGTGGTTTGCAGATGGGTTGTTTTAAACGATGTACTTGTGTCAATCAGAGATGGTAACACTGTTGTTAAATTTGACAATGATGATTACTATGGATCCATATTGAGAAAATACATGAGTTTGGATTTGTTGTATGTTTCATGAGTAGTAGTGGAGGTATATTTGGAACATCAATAATAAAATTTAACACCTGTGATTATTGTTGGACAACATTTGTAGAGCTCGTTGTCTTGTATCTTTGTGGAACGAGGTTTTAAAGTTTTAAAAAATACATCGAGCTTTATTTAGACACCAGATCTCTAGTTAGTCCCAATGGAACAGGTAGGGAGTTGGTGTGGATAGAGCTCAATGAGCTTTTCGCTTGCTGCATTAAGCCACATTGTAAAGTTAAAGTTAAAAAAATGGCTGAACAACTCATTGAGAGACTCAAAAGCGCGCAAACCTCCACGCTAGTAACCAACATTCTGAAAAATGCCAAGATGGAGGAATGGAACGAAAACGATAAGAAAAAGTTGTTGGATTTTCTCATCCATACCAAAGACAACAGCATCAACAAATGTTGGGAAACAACGGAAACGATTAAAAAAATATTGAAGGCTTTTCCTCCGCGTGTGTCCTACGACGTTGCTTTAGCACAACCATCCACTACAGGTACAATAGATCCTGAAGATGTTTTTTTGCCATCCTATATGACATCACAACATGTTGGTATTGATTACTCTAGAAAAATAGCCTCAGGAGGACAAGCTTCAATCTATAACGCTATTCATTTGGATACAAACACCAGTGTTGCTGTAAAGATTGTTGATTTTGAAGATCAAGGTAAAATCAAAACAGTCAAAGAAAATATATATAAGGAAGCTCATATAATAATGAAATTACCTCATCAGTACTGTGTTCGAACGTATGGAGTTTTTGTTGATGAACATACTGATTCAATGAGAGTGGGATTTGTAATGAAAAAGTATTCTTCAAATCTATGGAGATATTTGTCAGAGAATGAGAGTAATTTGGATTGGAAACAAAAGAAGAATTTGATAATATCTTGCTTGGAGTGTTTACAGACTCTGCATACACCATCGGAAGACTATCCTAGCGGCATTCTCCATAATGACATCAAGTCTGAAAATTTTCTCGTGACAAACGACGGTATACAAGTGAATGAATTAGTCTTAACCGACTTTGGATATGCTGATGTTAGGGAATACCAAACATACTATAATTCTGTCAGTTCTATTCTGGGAACTGTTTACGATAAGCAAAAGGACACACTACTGTATCAGGCTCCTGAAATACTCACTGAAGACGATGAAGTACCGTACTCCAAGAGAAGCGATATTTTCAGTTTGGGTAGAGTCATAGGTGAGATACTGACATGCAAGAAACCATTCCATTCTGTGAAGAATAGGAATACATTATTTAAAGCTTGCTGTGCGAATGGCAACGACTTTACCTTACCTGTTGATTGTCCTCCATTATTAAGCATTGTCAAGTGCTGGTGTTGTGCAACAGATGTTAATGATAGACCAGCCTCTTGTGAATTGGTCCTCGATTTGTTAAGGAAATGTGATTTTAATCAAAACTTGGAAGAAGTTTTGAAAGAAAAGGTAAAGATATCGAACAATCCTAAGCGTGTAAGACACAGACGTAAACTTCCCTGAAGTGGTCTTGTTAGCAAAGATGTCTTGCTTGAATTGAAATGGTTTGATTCGCTATTGATTTTATTAATGAGCAAGTCTCATCAAACATGATTTATTCTGAACGTAGTGAAGGGCAGGAACTTGAAATTTTAAAGTTCCTTTTTCGCAGATCCTTAACCTTCTTGTGGTAAGGAAGAACAGTGTGACAGTGCAACTGGCCTGATCGAATCTTTTCCACAAGTAATTGATTTTTAATTTTTTAACCTTAATTTAATATTTATTTAACATCAACATGACGTTGTCACCACCCACGATGTATGGTGTTATTGAAACATCCATCACAACATCATCATGTCCTTCTTACTTGCGTTTCTCTGGTTTTCTCCTTTTTGGAGTTTGCCTTTATTAATTTGTATTGTTGGCAATGTGGTCACTAGACAAATAATCACCTGCATAAGATGTTAGTGTAACGGAGAAAGAAGATGGAGGAAATCAGACATGAGCAAGAGATTTTGTTTAATTGCTGTCATGTGGAAACATTGATGTGATGAGATGTCAAAGAAAAAAGGAACAGATGATGGTCTCTCTGGAAGTTAAATTTCGCTCAACAACGGCGTATGACAGATATCAAATTTCTAGTTGGTTGTTTTGAACCTGCCTTCAAGCATGGTAAGCTTTTTGTTCCATAGCAGCATTTCCAATTATTTTCGAATTCAAACACGTGTTAAGTTTGGATAACTTCTCCTTCAGTTTAATTGGACCACGAAAAATTCCTCCAATCAAATCATGAATGATGATGCAGCACTTTTTCTACGTGTTTGATGGCATCACCATGCAATGATCTTTTAAGGTAATAGTTCGGGTCCTTCAATTTAACCAAAAAATTGTCTCTTGTTCTTACAGTGAATTAATTTTCTTTTAAATTGTAGTAATAATTGTAATTTGCAATTCATAGAACAAGAAAAGAATTATAAATCGGCTATCGTCTTGAAAATGAAACAAATGATCAGCAAAACGAAAAGTAGAAAACATCCGATCGGAACAATGGTGTTTGCACTAGTCATGACTTTGAGCATGATGATCACTTTAATAAGAGCACATCTTGATCATGAAACTCTTATTAAAGATATGAACCTAACACCCGAACCGATGAACAAGGATCGCATGGAACAAACTCTTCCCACAACAACAGCAACAACAGGTAAATCACACAACGAATTATCAAGCCTCACCACTGCAACCACAGATGTAGAGCTCGACGACCCAACCTCCATCCCAACTCTTTATCAATTCCATACTGACAGAGATTCAATTTCAACCTCAGTGACTCTCTTTACCAATCATAGAGCAAGTGTAGAAAGAACCTTTAACGTGAAACCAGGCATAGCAGAAGCAACTTCTGTTCAAGTCACATTGACAAAACTCTCCCAACATGTGGACACATCAAGCTTTTCTGTGAGTGCTGTGATTCAAGATGAGAATTCCAAAGACCACACCACCATCACCCAACTCTTTCTTAAAGAAACACAATTCGAACAAGAGGTACCAATTTCAAATAGCAAAGAAAAAGCTGAAAAGGAAGCATTAGAGGAAGACTTGAAGCCAATAGAATTGAAATTGCAAGACATGGAGCAATTGAAGAATGGAATTTTACGGGAGTCTTTGTCATCCAAGTTTGACACAAAAGAATTTACAGAGAAAATGCAAGCGTTGAAGGAATTGGAGGAAATTATCTCACAGCTCTCGAAACAAAAGAGAGATATTTCGAAAAAGATAGAACAATTGAATAGCAAGCCAACCCCGTGGAGCTTTCTCCCATACAATTTCACATTTTCTGCCACACTTCCAAAGCATTCAGTACATTTGATTGTGAAATACATTGTCACCAATGAGACGTCATTCAATACGTATCCTCTTTTGACTTGGATTCCATACTACTCTCTTCATATTGACAGCAAGAAACAAACAGGTCGTCTTGTTTTCATGGCAGACCTTCAACAGTACAGTGGTGAAAATTGGACCAATGCACAAATAACATTAAGCACAGATACCTTGACACTAGCACCTTCATTACCTCAAGTTCAAGAACTCACATTGGCTGATATGGGTGTTTATCTTGATGGAAACAGTAATCGAGGAAGTTGGCTGAATGATCTCACGTTAAAGAATACCATGACGGTTCGTTCTGCCGTAAATATGAACTATGCCCCTCAATCTGAATCCTTTGGTCAGAGTCAAAACAGCGATGACCAATTTCAATCACCGGCACAAGTTAAAAACAATCCTCTACTGTCCACCTCTATCATGTATGTGATAGCAGGACGATTAACCTTACCAAGCGCTCAACCGTCCATGTTCACTCCTAAGGCAAGGGTAAACAACAATGTGATCAAGAAGGTACTCATCGGGCAAGTCATGCTTGAAACACAATGGTTCCACAAAGTGATTCCAAAACAAACGACCAAAGTTTACACCAATATGAGCATCAAGAACAAGTCCAAATTACAACTTGTACCTGGTGCTATTGATATTTTCGTAGACAACATGCTGACCTCGCAAACTACTATCGATAAGAATATTTTACCAAAACAAACATTCAATTTGGATACTGGAATTGATAAAATGGTTTCTGTGACCGTTTTAGAGAAGAGCTCTAACGAAGATTATTCCGGCTGGTTCCAAAAAACGAAAATGGTCAAGAATTTATTCAAAGTATTAATTGACAATAAGAAAGACGTTCCTATCAACATTACTGTGATGGATGCCTTACCAAAAATCACAAATTGGCACAAGGACAAGAGCTTGAAAATTCTCCTTACACAACCAAAGCTCGATGGAAAGCCAGAGAGCGATTTATCTGAATGGTTCACGACATCGAATACCAAGTCCGTAAATACGGTTGAGCCGCTCTATCTCACATTTAAAGATAATGACAACAACATTCTTGTGAAAATTAAGAAGCTGAATTATGTAATGGAACGAGAATTCACTTTGAAACCCCATGAACGAAAAATTCTCTCATTGGAATTTGTTGTTTCTTACACTGAGTGAGTGGAATGGATACACCCAATAATTCAAGATGAAGCAATTCACATTCCTTGACGCATATATTGTGGTGCAGTATCGTGCTGAATGAGATTTTTAAATAAGGCAGGTGGCCATTGGGCCGTTGGGTGACATACATTTCATCCCTCAATAAATATTTGCTGCGAGGGCAACTTCGGACACCTGTCAGCTTTTCACTTTGAAAGACGTTGTGAAACTTGGCGCGCGTCAAGAAGTTTTCGTGTTTTAAAAAATAACGCATTGAGGTACGTTCCTTTCAGCTGCATGCAAAGATAACACACGCGTCGCTCTTCTGACCTGTTGAATGAATACTCATGCTTGATACTACTTTTGTTTTGCACCAAAATGATGATGTTGGCTTGTGTTTTGATGTACTCCTCCATATTTATCCGTTACTTCAAAATATTTCATGATGGTGATGATTATTCTCGTTGCTGGCCTCTCTCTCACTTGAACTCACCTCTCTGTTGTTGGTATATTCTTTTATGACCATCATTGTTTAAATTTTATCCACTCACCACCACAACGGCTCTTCCGAAATGTCTATACCTTTTTCCTCTGTGCAAACACGTGATTTACAATGATATTGTGGTCCAATGATGATGATGATGATAATGATAATTTGCATGTGCCATCTTGATGCCTTTCCCTCACAAACACAATAGTAATAGTAGTTATCAACACACTAGTACAACAACCACAACAACAATGCCTCTCCTTCTTATGGGACCACTTCGTGAGTTCTGCCAACTCATCATGGCAGAGCCAGCCAAACTTTTGGATATGAATTTCCTCGCTACCCAATATCACCAAAAGTTTAGACTTACTATGGACGAAACTTTCCTCATGAAACAGTATACCAACGTGCTGCCAATTACTTCTGTGATTGTTTACTTGTTCATTGTTTTTGTTTTACCCAAGTTGTTGCCAGTTCCAGCTAAGGACGCAAAGAGACCAATCTTGAAGATGGTCATGTTCTTGTGGAATATGTTCTTGAGTGTTTTCAGTTTAGCCATGTTGTTGGGTGCTGCTATTCCTTGGTTCAGTTATTTGAAGAATGAGTACGAATGGGATTTACCAGCTTTGATTTGTGAAGAAAAGCACGTGCTTGGTAAGTGGAATGGTGAAATTGCTTCTTTGTGTTTATATTTGCTTCGAAATGATTGTGTTTTTGCCTACTTGTTTTTGTGTGATCCTGTGATGTTTTATTTTCACATCTACTGCAACCTCTTGGATACCAACCTGCAATGATAATAACCCGATGATCCTGTCGTCAATGTTGACATGAAATTGTGCACACATGAATGACCCATAATGACACACACACATATTGGCACTTCCCTCACCGCCATATAGGTCCTGAACAAGGCCTTCCACACATTGTTTGGGCTTACATTTTCGCTCTCTCCAAGTATTTGGAACTCATTGACACTGTCTTGTTGGTTATCAAGCATCCAGATCGTAAGGTCCCATTCTTGCACTGGTTCCACCATTTGACTGTTTTACTCTTCACCTGGTATGCTGTCTACACTCAATATGCTGTCGGATATTGCTTTATTATTATGAATGCTTTGATTCACACTTTCATGTACTACTATTATGCATTGACCGAGTTGGGCTATAGACCAAGCTGGAACTTTTTGTTGACTGTTGGTCAAATTTCTCAAATGATTTTCGGTATTGTTTTCAACTCGATCTTTGCTTACAAGTTCTTCAAGAATAAGGAAGCTGGCGTGCCTCTTGAGAAGAATTGTCGTTGTGAGGCTCCATATGAAATTATGTTGAGCTGTGTTGCCATGTATGGTGCTTATTTGTATTTGTTTGTTGACTTCTTTGTTAGAAAATACTTTGGTTCTGCACCAGCAGCCACTTCTGGAAAGAAGAAGCACGAGTAATTCTATGGACAATTACTAGTGTCCAATTATTTAATAAATTTTGAAAATTATTCTTAAATTGGATCACCTTGAAGCAGAAAGGCTGAGAAGCATGAGAGTTAAGCAACACAAAGGTAAGTAACGTCTTGCTATATGAAAGAGATTTTTATAAATACTTGATATTATTGAGAGACCTATGGGACTATGCGACGCAACTGTCACATCCTCTTTCATTAAGAAATTGAGATCCTATGGCCAATCGAATTGTGTCAAAAACGTACATCACCCCAATTTGGAACTGGTCTCGGCCAAAATAACACTTCATGCCGGGTGCTTTTACCTCAAAAAAGAGACTCGCTTATATGGGCTCAGCCTCATCTTCTTCCTCATCATCGCTTCATCCACTCAATGGTGGAGTGGCTGATCCATCTTCTGTGTTTCATCAATCCCAGCAACAACAAGTCTCATCCGACTCGCTTCTTGCACATGAAGGCTTTTCATCTGAAATCAAACTACAACCAAAGAAGAATGATTGGACATCTTCAACGAAAACCATTCACGAGTCGTTCCACCACAGCATTTCGAACTCGTCGAGTCGTTCCACGCGACCCTCACTGAAAGCCTCCTCCTCACTGCCCTCTTCCATTCACGTGAATCATTCGTATCCGTTTCATCCTCTGAAAATGTATCAACATCATCCAGAAGTGTTCGGAACCTCGAGCCTTAATGAGCCTCAACACATCCAGCTGGAATTTATGAAACCTCATTCTCTAGTGTTTTCCTCAACGTCTTCGTTATCCTCGTCGACAATGAATCATTCGAACACGACTCACAAGTCCTCATCATCCAATGGAGAAGACCATTCGCATGAAACCGACGATACTGCCACCAAAGCAAAAAACAAAATCTCTCGATATGCTTCCCTTCCGGATCATATTTATGTAAAGCCAATGAGTTATAATAATTCAACAACAACAACTACCAGTCCACATTATTTAGCTCCTCCTCCTCCAACTGTGAGTGAACATACTCAAGCATCATCCTCAACCAGATCATCGTTGGGAAGAACGAAATCAACCAGCAGCCACAGTACACATTTACATCCGAATTACGTGCCATCTGATTCTTACACCAATCATAGAAAGATGCCCTCCAATCATTTGCCTCATATGAATCATAGAAGAAGAGAAGCGCCTGTATGGCAAGAATGCGCCTCTGCTACTTCTCATGTGGTCACAACCTCAAACAGCGTTTCAACTCCAGTCATTGGTGAAAGTCATGATTCGCGTCACTTGCCCAATACAAGTGCTGCAGCTTCACAACGAATTCCAGACTTTCCCTTTCAGCGTTCGTATTCACCTTACAAATTCTTTCAATCCGATTCTCAAAGCTCCCTTAATACCACTACAACTTCACATCGTTCCATCAGTCCAACTCCAGATTCGCCATTACAACAACAAGACAGCTCCAATTCACAAACAAACTTGGGCAATGAAGAATGTCATATTACTGTGACTGACCCTCCATTTCCTCCCAGTGTGATACCCAAGCATCGATTCCATCCCCACAAGAAACATTATCACATTTCAAAGAATCAATCTCTTCAAGTGCATTCACATCATCCTCACCACCATCATGCACAACGTCATCAAAAACCTTCTCATCAGAACTATCATCACATGTCGAATCATCATCATTTTCATCCACATGTTCGATCCAGGAGTATGGAGGAAGATGCACTACCTCGCCTGTTGTCAAAATCAGATCTCGATTCCAGTGATGATGTGTAATTAGGGTATCAATATTCAGACAGACTTGGAATCCCATTGCTATAGTCAAACCTGATTTAACACGTTTCAAAATGTCCAATTGTGTGGCCATAAATTCCTTCGTATCCAATTGTGGTCGCGAACTCCTCCTGTTATACCCACGCCCATTAAGGCGAAAACAATGTCTCGTAAATGCCGAATTTTGATGACCTTTCAACGACGAACACAACCATTCGTGAAATGAACAATGACCTTTTCGAACACACTGACCACCCTAAAAAATAGTTCTCAGTCCTTCTCTTCTTCATGGCGCTGATTCAATACTTACTATGAATGGGATCCAGTGTGAGCAGCTCTTCCGCCTCAATGCGGCACATGAAGATGGACGAAGGCCAACATCAAGATGACCTGAAAGATGTATTTTCCAAATACTCGCCATCTCAACAGTCTCGAAAAAGCTCATACTCCTATCAAGATTTGATTCATGTTCCAATCAAGTCATCTACTAACGCGAGCACAGGACGTTCGCATCATCATCCTTTGCCCAAGTCTTCCCCCTCTACCACTTACTCTCAGGAGTTGATTCATCAATCTCATAAAACGCGAGGTCGTTCCTTTACATTTGTTCAACCACTATTTTCAGAGGGTACAAAGTCTAATGGTCCTCCTCCTCATCATTCCAAAAAACATCAAACAAAACAGATTGCTTCCACTCAAATATATCATCAAAGTACCACTTGTAATGAACTGCAAGAGGAGGACGATCCGTTGGAGCATCAAGTTATTGACAGTTTTCATGTTCGCAAGGTGAAATATAGACCATCCTCCGGAAGAGATGTTGCAAACACACAAAAACGGCTACAACCCCTAAAGTTTTCATTGAAACATCAGTCCAACCATTATGAACGGGAAGAATTTTTGATTATCATCACTCCACCCACAGTGCCTTAATCCCAATTTCATGGAAGTCCATGAAGCATTTTATTGTGTTGAATTCAATAAAAAATCTAAATGTAAAATAGTCCAAATGTGGATATTGACTTTTTGTTATCCCATTTCTCCTTTACATGAAAAGCACAATTTCAAGCAAGAAAAATGGGTGCAGGGGCCTCCACCACCACTGCAATGTCGACTTCAATTTCACCCTTTCATGCACCTCAAGTTGAGTTGAATACTCGGCACACGAAACCTCCTTCTTCTAAGGCTCATCATGTTAGACTTTCCATGAATCAACCAAGCATGATTCATTCGAGTAAGGATCCAATTCCAACCCTCTCTCGTTCATTACAAGAAATCGTGGATGACCGGAAAAGATCTTGCCATTCGGTTTTTATCGATCATGATGTTGCATTAAGGGATCAAGCTCATTCAAAAACCGTTCATTCGACGCACTCTTCGGTCCTCCTGCATTGCCTTGAAAGACGAAAAAAGAAGAAGAAAACTCTACCGTTAACAGAACACAACCATCGCCATTCACAACATCTTCATCATCATCTTCGAACTCATACACATCGACATGATTTTCATTTACATCACCCTCCAAATGAAATATTGAAGCATCATCAATCCTCGCTCTCTAACCACTCACCGTCTCATTATATTAACATCTTGGTTAAAAAACGAATCTTACTGTTGGAAGATCAAGACACCACTCTGGTCGATCATGTACCAACACAAGATCAATTTGATTCTGTCATTACTTCAACTGATTTATCCAAAGACAACGGCAATGCCAGTAATTTTGACAAGTTTCCCATAGATACCGGTTCCAGTTTTGAATTCTCTGGCTCCAGCAATTCATTTCGATCCTCAATGCCTGTGAAAGAAGATGTTTCTATCCCTGTACTTTACAACAAATGTTCTATTCGTTCACAAGTGTTTCAGTCCCTCCAAAAAGGATTGTTAAAACAATCCATGACTTTGGACATGAATGAAGGAAATGATGAAATACGAATTGTCGTTACACCTCCCTCGTTCGCAGCAGAAATGAAATCGAACGGATCCAAAACTGTTGACATGGAGCGGTGTGAAAAAAAGAAGACATTGAGACTTTGTTCGAAAGAAAATGTAAAACGATGACGAATGGAGATGAGCTGGCTTTCGTTCAGTTACCATTCCTCACTACCTCGAAACAAAATCTCTCCTTCACATACCAACAAACATGCAGTCTCACCCGTAGATCATCTGTGTTTCACACTTGGGCCTGTCAAGTATTGACTTGCCTAGAACGAATGACATTTTTCAACAACACGAGTTCACATGTCACTACAGGAACTGAAATTCACTCCCAAAAAACAAATGCTTCTTCCGCTTCTGATTTTACTCTTTCAAGTTCGACTTCATCGATGTTTCTTTCCACTGACAGTATATCCAGCTCGAGTTCACTCAACAAGCGATTGAGGAAGAACGAAAAGAAAAATTCTTCATGAAAAAAAGAAATATAATTCGAGAAAATTGTATGATATTCAAAGTTTACGAAAGAGTCCAGTCATGGCTACATCGTCGAGCATGTACTTCAATAAGGTTCCTTCATTATTTGAATTTTGAAGGGTGACAACAGCACTGGAATTCAATTTACAAAATTAATTATTAAAAAAAATTTTGCATGATTCATTGGTCCAATATTTTGGCAATCATACGCAAAGTCATGTAGGTGTTTTTTTGTTAGAGATGTTTTGGTTGATATGGAGATGGTTAAATCACATGATCCGACGGGTGATTAATTTTGTGATGGTTGCATTCCGATTGGATGTTGTTAATATCATACAACCATTATGATGAATGATTTTAAAAATTATTCTTATTATTATATCCATCCATCGGTCATCGGAATGTGTTCAAAATTCGTTAATTTCTTTCATTGTATCCAACACATAATCATCATGAATGACTCGTATCAATATTTTACAACAACTTTCATCAACACCCTCAGCAATACATACACTCAAAAGAATCCCCGTGCAGCACGAATCATGAATATTATATGGTATGCCGTAATCATTATTGGGCTATTGCCTCTCTTGTTAGTAATTTTCAAACGAAAAGATCCCTCCTCCGAAGATGCTCAACGAAATACATCTTCGGGACAATCCACGCAACAACAAAATCGGTCTTCATCAGGTAAATCATCGGGATTATTTGGAAAAGTTTGCCTCAATGCAAAGGCTTTCTTGTTAGATCATGAATTGTATGAAAATCGCTCGACCAATCAACAACAAGAGAGTATCATGGAAATTGCTTCTTCCACAACCGAAACGGATGATGCCAATGATGAACGTATGAAACATCTTAAAAAATTGGCCAACGATTGTGATGTGTATATTATTGTACAAGTTGCATCGGATGAGGAACAAAATTACTATCAAGATTTATTGGAGAAAAAGTATGGATTTTTCAACTCGGTGAAAATTCTATTTTGTGAAACAGTGAAAGGAAAAATTGCATTCTGTCGTCAAATTAATCCACAACTTTGCATTGATGTTGACAAGGAAACCACACGGGAATTGAAGCGATTTTATGAAGGAGTTTGCATGATACAAAAGAATGCTAAAAACTCCAAGAATGAACACGACATTTTGGAATATTCAAACTTTTTGGACCTGATGAGTCATTTAACAAAGGCTTAATTGAAAGGTTAAAGCTAATGCACCAAGAAGAAGAGTGTCATGGCCTTCTGTGACGCTTCTCCAATGTATTCATAACACCGAGAGACATTTGTCACATATTCAATTGCAACAGCATCCACATGATAATAACACCACACGAGTAGTAGTCGTATTTATTATTTAAATTAATTAGATGCCATTAACATCTTTTCATTATTGTTTAGAAGGTTGATTACCACCAACAATATTTTCCTTCCATTCAGAGACCTTATTGACCACCTTATCTTTGATATGCTTCACAGTATCTTTCACAGATTCAGCAGTGTCCTTGGCCTTCTCCTCACCTTCTTCCAAATAGGCCTCAGTATAACCCTTCGTCTCATAGAACTTGTCCTTTCCAGATTCAAACAAATTGCTAGCCGTATCTTTGAGATTTTCTTTGGCTTCATACGCAGCGTCCTTGGTATCTTGTGAAAAGAGATTACTTGCCTTATCTTTGATCGTTTCCTTCACATCACTGGCCACATCTTTCACTTGATCCTTGACATTTTTGGCTGTGTTATAGAGAGTGTCAGCGGTCGAAGAGGAGCCAGCTACATCGTCATAACCAGAAGTCCAATTTTCAGACGAAGAAACATTCTTCTTGACCTGTTCCTTGGCGTCACTGAATTGATCTTTTACCTTTTCTTTGGTATCACTCCATTGACTCTTCAATTGTTCCTTAGTATCACTGAATTGATCTTTGACCTTTTCTTTGGTGTCACTCCATTGATCCTTATTGATTGGAGATCCTTTCCATTCCTCACTCGATCCAGTGTCGAAACTCTTGTCAGTTCCAAGAGCTTTGGCAGTAGCATCTTTGGCTGTATACAAATCATCTCCATAAATATTATTGTCAAATCCGAAAAATTGAGTGGGATCTCGATCAATGGGTTTTCCCATATGAGGACTTGGAATGTCTGACATGTCTGAATCCTCTGTAGAGCCAGCCACATACGAACCAGGAACATAGGATCCAATTGGAGTTTTGTTTGCCATCTTTTCAGTCGTGTTCAAATTAGGAATTGGATTGGGATTGTCAAAGAAGGAACTTTCTTGTTCCTTTTCTTTTCGAATACCACTTGGAGATTTATCAGATGTTGAAACCGATTGCACGGTGGGATTATTCTTGAGAAATTGCTGTTCTCGATCTTTTTGAGAGGCTGAAGTTGAAGAAGAAGTTTCATTCACCTTCTTTCCCTTGTCATAGACATCTCCGCTGACTTGCTCGTCGTGTGGAACGAGAGAGGAACTAAACATTGCTGCACGAGAATTGCTTGGAAAGTAGTTGCCTCGGGAATGGCACACTTGTTGCATTGCAACTCGTAAGAAGGAAACTCTTTTCATGTTCAATGTCGAGAGAGAGTAAGTGTTAATATTAATATATGGTTGTAATTGTTTTTCTGAGAAAAAGAATTTTGAATGTATCCGATGGGTTGGTGTAAATGAAGTGACTGGAATGGAAGAGGTAGAGTGGGGATGATGGATCAGAATGGAGAAAATCTAAATAGGTTTCCCATGAAAGAGGTGTGCTTTTGGTTGTTTAAAAAGATTCCAAAACTCGAGCTTTTCCAGATTTGGAAGTTTACAATGGCAAGATTATTGATCTAAGGTTCATTATTGTGATTTCACATTTCGCAATCAGACAATGTTACAAACCGTTTCCTTATTTTCCTCATGTATGATTGCCACTCACAATTCCAGAATTGGTTACTTTCAATATAAATCTATTCCTTTTAATGTACAGGTGTTAATTTATTGGGACAACTGATTTGATCTACAATCAATTACTGTGTCAAAGCAACACCACATTATTCTTTCGACAATATTCTTGATGATGAAACCATGAGTGGACTCTTTCGTAAACTTTGAATATAATACAATTTTCTTCGCTTTTCGAGAATTATTTTCTTTTTTTCATTTCGTTCTTCCTCAATGGTTTTACTTGAAATGTTCAAAATGGATGCATTTGAAGAGGGACTATAAGGAGGAGGTGTTATGATAATTCGATATTCACAATTTCCAAAATGACCACAGCACTTGTTGTTTCCAATATTCAAGTGATGTGATTTTGGTGGAGTTGCTGACAATGATGGATCATGAGGAAATAATTCATCTCGACTCGCTTGGATGACTTTGGAAGGAGCTGAAAAACGAGAAGTGTGTGATGGATACAAATCTTTGGATAACATCTTTTTGAGTGAAGAAAAGGAAACTGAGGATTTTGGTTGATACGAATCAAACTCTTCTTCAGAATTTGTTTCATCTGCGTCTTCTGTTGAGTCTTCTTCTTCCAATGAATGGTCGTTGGAACCTGTCAAAGAGATGAGTGAACTCGAGTTGGAAATACTGTCAGTAGAAAGAAACGTCGAAGAGGTCGAATTTGAATTCGTCCATTCATAACGGGAGTTTAAGGATTCAGGCCTGGTAGAGGTACTATATTGTGAGCTCCTTCTTCGAGAAGAGATTTCTGCAACTGGTTGTGCACACTCCAAGTCGACTCGAGTAATGTCATGTTCATCTTCAATTCCTGAAATAATTGCACGTGTGAGTAATGAAGACGACGAGTCTGGTAATGGACTTTGTTGTTTTTTAGGTGGTGTGAACATCACATTTGCATGTGAGGATGGAATTAGGGATTTCTTTTCAATGACATTAATGGTTGGTTTCTCTGTCCGTTGGATGTCATTGGAAGAGTCTGAAAGAGGAGAGCGTTTAAGTGGAAATTTTGGTGAATGTGTTGTTGCATCATCGGATATTTCACTCGATGCTTTCAATCGACGAGAATTCAGTCTCGAGTGAGTCATTGCACCCAAGTTGTTGATGGGAATGGAATCGTTCATGGCTGGAATACGAGTTGAAGTTGCCATTGAAACACTAGAACCCATTTTTCTCTCTCGTGTGTATTGGTGCGTGGTGGATAAAGTTTCACTAAGGTAACCATTATTTTCCTTTTGGAGTGAAAAGGCAACAACTACTTTCACTAACACGGCACAAATGGAAGGCGGTGAAAAGATGGCGGTGAAAAGAAATTGGATCTTGAGGTTCATTCATGTGATCTAGTATTGCCACAGCAAGCGAGATCTCGAGTTCTTTTCTGAACACATTTCAGATATGTTCTACCAATGATTCATCTTTCAGGTAGGTTATGAAAGACATATTTCATTCTGGAAAATTAGCAACTGTCACTGCATCATTCTTTCAATGGTGAAAACATGGCTGAAATATTTCTTAAACTTTGAATATAATACAATTTTCTTCGCTTTTCGAGAATTATTTTCTGTCTCTCTTTTCTTTCTTCCTCAATGGTTTTACTTGAAATGTTCAAAATGGATGCATTTGAAGAGGGACTATAAGGAGGAGGTGTTACAATAATTCGATATTCACAATTTCCAAAATGACCACAATACTTGTTGTTTCCAATGTTCAAGTGATGTGATTTTGGTGGAGTTGATGACAATGATGGATCATGAGGAAATAATTCATCTCGACTCGATCTGATGACTTTGGAAGACTTAACAGGTGTTGCAAAACGAGAAGTGTGTGATTGATACAAATCATTGGATAACATCTTTTTGAGAGAAGAGAAGGAAGCAGAGGGGTTATATGAAAATGAATCCAACTCTTCTTCAGAACTTGTTTCATCCTCTGTGGAATCTTCATTTTCTTGATGGTCATAGGTTGTTAAGGAAAGTGAGGTAGAGTTGGAAATGCTGTCAGCTGAAAGAAACTTCGAAGAGGGCAAACAAGTCCATTCACAAGGGGAGTTGTTTAAGGGCTTCCTTGTAGAGGTTGTGTATTGTGAGCTCTTTCGAGAAGAGATCTTTCTCACTGGTTCATCGTCTAAATCAACTCGAGTAAAGTCATGTTCATCCTCAATACCTGAAATAAGTGCACGTGTGAGTAATGAAGATGAAGTTAAGGGAGGTAACGTAGGTTTACGTGGTGTAGATATGTGGATACTGCATGCATGCGGGGGGGGGGGGGG